TACTGCAGTAGGAGTCCCTCAATGAAACAGCTCAACTAAACCACCCTTGTCAACAAGTTCCATCCATACTCAGAGTTTTTAATCAGCCGTTTAGTGGCTCACTCTGAAATATGAATGAACAACAAAATTTCATCGACTACTTGTGAAAAGTCTATAATGTGAAAGAGAAAAAAGTATGGGAAAAACAGAAAAAAGAATCCAGAAGAAATAGAGACAAGCAGGAAAAACTAAAACAAACAAATGAAAACACATTAATATCTTCAGAGATGCATAAGGAGATATTGCATCTACAAAACAAGAGTAAATGCTATAAAAGAAGAACACTTAGAGAAAAAAATTATTGAAAATGAAAACTATGACAACATAAATGAAAAACTTAGTAGGAGACTTGCTTGATAAAGCAGAGGTATGACTTCAAGAAAGTCAACAAGAAGACAAAGATGGCAGATAGAAAACTATAAAAATTAGAGGATCAAACTAGATCTAACATCTGAATAATATAGATTTCAGAAAGACAGTACAGAGAAAATGGAGGGGGAAAATAAACAAATACAATATTTAGAAAACTTCCCTTTTGTTTTTAGACTGAAGGACCTATCCAGTGCCCAGCACAATAGACGAAAAAAGAACCATAGCAAGGCACCTCATCACAAAAATTCAGAACACAAAGGACAAGAGAAGAAACTATAAATTTTCAGAGAGAGCAAGAAAAAAATAATAGCAAAGGTCAGGAATTGGAATGCATAGCATTCTTTAGCATTGTCAGCTAAAAGACAATGCCTTCACAATTCTGAGCTCAATGTTTCCAATCTAGAATTCTATTTCCAGTCAAACTTCCAGTCAAGAATGATGATAGAAAAAGAAACATCCAGACACACAAGGTCTCAAAGAATTCACTTCCAGTGTACCTTTTCTCTCTCAAAGAGTCTACTATGAAATCTAAGAAACAGGGATCTGAAACAGAAACAAGGTGAAGGGGAGCCCCAGACGATGGTGGAGGGAGATACCAAGATGACAGCTGTGCAGTTGCCCAGATCAGAACAGAATTGGAGACAGCTCCAAGAAGATGAAACTCATGGAATACCTCCTGGGGATCAATGTGTTGAGAGGACCTGACACTTACAGTGGAGAGTTTGGAGATGAATTAATGGCAGGTACGTAGAGCTCAGCAGGTGAACAAAGAGCACAATTATTTACGCCAAGAAAAACAGAAATAGAAAAGATTTGTCATCATTCTATACTTCAATACTCAGCTTTGGATTGTGTTAATAACACAAGCACCAATGTCATAGAAACAATGTTAGTTTGAGAGCAGGGGCTGCAACACAGTTTTGGTGGGGATGGGTTGGGGAAGGTGGATGAAAGAGAGTTAAATCCTTATATTCCATAAGGGGAATTGCTATGGTGTGAATGTTTGTGCCCCTGCCAAATTCACATGTTGAAATCCTAATGTGCAAAGGTGATGATATAAGGAAGTGGGGCCTTTAGAAGGTGTTTAAGTCATGAGGGTGGAGTTCTCATGAAGGGGATTAGTGCATTTATGAAAGAGACACCCCCCCGCAGAGCTTCCTCGCCCTTTCCACCATGTGAGGGCACAGCGAGGAGGCCTTAGCTAGAAGCAAGAAGTGGGCTCTCACCAAGTCTGCCTTGATTTTGGACTTGAAGCCTCCAAGATTGTGAGAAACATGTATCTGTTGTTTTATAAGCTACACAGGCTATGGTATTTTGTTATAGCAGCCCGAACAGACTAAGACAGAAATTAATAGAGATAATACTTAAAATTTTTTAAATGAACAAGTAACAGTGTATGAAAGAAAACACATACCAAAGTAAATGTACTATGTAATCCCATTTATATGAAGTTCAAGAACGGGCACAACTAATCAATGGGAGGTGATGGGAGGCCAGAAGAGTTGTTACTCCTGGGCAGGGGTATTGAATGGGACGGGACATGAAAGTATGTCCTGAAGTGATGGACATGATCTATATCTAGGTCTGGGTGTGATGAATATAAACATTCAAGCTCTCAGACTTATACACCTTACAGTATGTGTCTTTATACCAATAAAAAAAAAGAATAGGAGAAAAAAGAAACAGAAGGATGTTATTTAGTGATATAGAGGAAACACAGTAAAGAGCAAAAAAAGCTGAAAATGGTTGGTTGCCTCTAAGGAAAGAGATTGGTGAGAAGCGCAGGAACTAATATTTTTGAAGCAAGCCTTGTAGAATTATTTGACTTTATTAAATTATGTGCATGCATAACTTTTATTTTTTAAATGCTAAAAAAGGAAAAAAATTGAGCACACATCACACCTTCCCAGTTTTCTTTGATCCCTGCCAGGTGGTGCACTATAACAGTTAGACAAGGACCTGGCTGGCCACAAGTTATCTGCAAGGCTGACTTATATGGACTCAAGGCCTGAAAGCTCTCATGAGTTGTGGAGTGGGAATGACTGGTACCATCTAGGCAGCAGCTATGGTGCCAGGGGCCTAGGGGTCAACCAGGGGAGGACGTTCCATGGAGGGTGAGGAGCATTGCCCAAGGGCCCTTGCTGCTTGGTGCAGGACTATAGCAGTGGCTCCTGGAAACTCTCCAGATGCCTGGCATGCAAGCAACTTTTCCAGGCTGCTATGCATGACCGGTGCCCTTGGCCACTGGGGTGACCATGTACGACCAGGCTCAGACTCACAGAATTCACCCTGAACAGACGGGACCTTGCCTCCCCTGCCCCCACCTCCTCACCTCGCAGGTTTCGGATGAAGTCCTCCAGCATCATCTTCCGGTCAGGTTTAATGTTGGGGCTGTACATGTCAGTGTTGAGGAGGATGATGGCAAAGGCCAGGATGAAGATGGTGTCGGGGTTGTGGAACTGCTGCACCACCTCGGGGTTGCACATGCAGTAGCGCTGGCTGTGGCGGGGNATGAGGGATGCAGGCAAGGAAAAAAGAGGGTGCAGTGCCCAACACAAAGTAAGAACTCAGTAACTATTAAGTGCACGGATAATGGAAAAATGTTTTTGAAAGGTGAGGAGGAGAATGGGAGCTGTCAGGAAGAAAGAAATGAAAGGAGGTGGGATATGGGGTGCTTAGTAGCCACAGGAGAGGAAGTGACACCCACAGAGTGAGTATTGTTCTGCAGTGGGCACTTACTGTCTTCATGCCAACGATGGACTTCTCCACCTTGGTGACATACGTGACGTGGTCCTCATTGGACTTGAGCTCCTTCTGCTGTATCCTTTCGTAGATACCTACCACCAACTCCCTAGGGATGTCGGCGCCATCATCCACACCTAGAGTGGGGAAGGGAGGCGGGGGAGGTGGAGGAAGGAGGTGTCAGAGGCCTGGAGCCAGAAAGGGAAAGCCCCCTTCCAGACTGATGGTCCTAAAGAGTGGCCTCGATTTTGCCCTGTCCCTATTTCAAAGCTTTCAATGGCTGGCTCCCCATATCCATTAAATTAAGGGCAAACTCCTTAGCCAGGCACCAGAACTACTATAATATGGCTCCAACACACATTTCTAGCCTCATCTCCTGCTGTCCCATAACCAGAACCTCCACTCCCACCTCCCAAGCCTCTTTCCTCATCTCCAAATACAGCCTCCAGATTCCTGCTGCGTGCCCGTGCTTCTTCAGTTCCCTAGTCTTCCGTTTACTGGGTTACCCTTTCCTCCCCCACCCCACTACGAGAGCATCTTGAAGTCCAGTGTTCTGTCTTGTTCTCTTGTGGATCTTCCCCTTCTCAGGCCCTTCTAGTGGGGAGCATGGTGTTCAGTGATTAGCTGTTGAAGGGGTGACAAGATTCTCCCCTCACTAGGAGCATCAGGGTGTTAGACATTGAGTGAAGAGCAGCAGGGCTGCCCCCGTGGCAATGCAGGTGAGGAGACCCTCTACCCATCTCCTACTTCATAGTAATGACAAAACTCTGGTAAACAAAAATTACTAGCAGGAAATATACCAACATGAAAACAAATTTCTTTGGAAGCAGAAACAGAGGTCATTAAAAATTTTTACTTTTTCTAAATCTTTCTTTAATGACTATAAGCTTCTTTGATAAGAGGGGAGAAATTGAAAATAAGGCAACTTTGGCAAGTGTTCTCAAAGGAGTTTTCCTAATGACTGAGAGGACATTTACCTTCTACGAGTAACTCTCTGTATTGACCCTGTTTCTTCCACATCTGTACTTGGTTCTTAAAGGTGGGAAAATGAGTGATGCAGCACACTTCGGGGCAAGAAAAAACAGGCATAAAAACTGAATATTCAGAGGCTCCCAGGTAAAGATGGCAGGTT